CCCCAAAACCCCAAAACCCCAAAACCCCGGAGAGGCTGGATATGTTGAAAACTTGGAATTTAGCATTTGGGGGATATTGATGTTATAGATGTATTTGCTAGTAGTATTAATTAAGAAGAAGGGGTTGAGAATTTTTGAATTTAGTGATATTTTAGAGATATAGGTTGGTTAAAATAGCACTTTTTATGAATCCAAGATAGGTTATACTGATTGCAAGTATGATCCAAGGAAGTCACCTTCGACTTTAACGTGATCCAGACCTACTTTTCTGAAAAGGAAATGCATATATCTCATATCTATCTCTCCATCAAAGCTTAGGTATACTTTTTGGAGAGATTTCTTCAAATCTGAATCTGAAAACCCGGTGATCAGATTCTCTAACTCTTTTTGATGATTTGCCCAGTCGCTATGGTTGTACCCATCTCACTTATTCAGGGTTATCTTCTTAATAGTAGTACTTTTCAAACATTTGGAAATTTCTGGAAGTCTTGGAAGACGAAATTTGCATTCTACAAATTCAATTTCCTTTGTAAGTCTGGCTGCCATGAAAACTTTCTTAAGTTGCTGCTCGTTTATTCTATAAAACGTGTTAACTACGATGAGGAAGAGGAGGTAGCAATCTGGATAACTATAAGATCTCTCTATCTATTTCTTGTTCCTAAATATTCTACATCTCATCTAAATTTTCAATAGGTATAAAAAGGATATGACCTACATAAAACTATCAAGGACAATTGCTTCAGAGACTCGGTAGCTCGCTTCCATAATAGAAGGTAGATATCCTTGGATCCCAATAAGATCTTTAGCGGATATTCTTAGTCTCTTGAGCCCACTTTGGGGAATGCAGCTCGTCAATAGCTTTTTCACCAGATTGCTTGATTTAGGGATGTTCCAAAGAGTCACTCATCTTAATGGTGGAAGACTGAATTTCAGGATTTTCTTAAGCAAAGGAGTAGTAGTAGGTTTGTCAAGAGAAATGTACAGTGATGTCATTTTACAAGTATCCTTCCCTTTTAATAAGTGTAGTACATCTCTGAGGTAATCAGAAAGAATTTTCATGTTTGAAGAGCTCGATTGTAATTGATGTTCCTTGGCTTCACCAGAATGAATTTTAGGTGAATAAAAACCTTGTTTTCCCTCATGGGATTTTGGAAGTAAGGCTACAACTTCAGATCTTGTCTGAGACCCCTCATTTGATAGCTGCATATTATCACTAGCCTGCGTTCATTTCAGTTCTTCATCTTGTTGAGGAGGTAAATAATCAGAAACTTTCTTTATAAGGATTCAAAGTTTCTTGTCGATCTTCTCGTTCTTTATTAAGACTTCTCTCGCGTGATCCTCAGCTGGTCCCAGATGTATGGAATCTAGTTCACTCCTAATTGACAATAGAGATTGAAGGATTTGAGTTAACCTTGTGAAATAGTGTGTTTTATTGGTAAATTGATATCGCTGAAAAATAGAATTGACATATCTAACACGGCTGTCTACTTCATCTAGTGTCTTTAACCTTGGATCAGTACTTTTCTTGACATCATTAGTCACAGTAGGCCTTTTATTAGCATTTGTTTTCGAGGTAGACCTTCTTTGGGTGTCGATGTTCATCTCAATAGAGTCATCTTTGACGTCTTCTTTACATCCCATGCAGCTTAATGTTGAACCCATTTATAGTTTGGTAAATTTTATTCTATTATATCTATTTGCGGTGAATAGTCTGGGGTTTTGGGGTTTTGGGGTTTTGGGG